GCAGGATGGCCGCGGTGACTGGGGTGGTGGTGACGGGCAGGATGGCCGCGGTGACTGGGGTGGTGGTGACGGGCAGGATGGCCGCGGTGACTGGGATGGTGGTGATGGGCAGGATGGCTGCGGTGACTGGGATGGTGATGGGCAGGAAGGCCGCAGTGGCCGGGAAGCTGTGGCTGCAGTGGCCAGGATGGCTGCAGTGGCCGGGAAGCTGTGGCTGCAGTGGCCAGGATGGCTGCAGTGGCCGGGAAGCTGTGGCTGCAGTGGCCAGGATGGCTGCAGTGGCCGGGAAGCTGTGGCTGCAGTGGCCAGGATGGCTGCAGTGGCCGGGAAGCTGTGGCTGCAGTGGCCAGGATGGCAGTAGTGACTAGGATGACCTCGGTGGACAGATGGCTAGTGTAGGGGCAGTGGCTGTGGTGGCCAACCATGCAGCAAGAGCCCTGACGGCTGTTCCTGAGCACCCCCTGGCCCCGCTGCTCTACTCTCCAGAGGAAACGGGGCGAGGGAGGGTAACTCTTGTTTTCAGGAATGGCATGTGTGGAACCCCCTCACTCCCTGCGGCTGGGGCTTGTTGTGCGTCTGAGATCAAGCGGGAATTTGAGCTTACGCTCATCAGGGCTGTGAGAGCCAGCAGCTCCCCAACACGGGCATGGGGTGCGTTTGCCCTGGATGTGGGGCCTGTGTCTACACCTGTACTGTCCAGTGCAGCAGCCACCAGCCGTGAGGCCTTTGAGCCTTGGAAGCGTGGCCGATCGACATCAAGATGTGCAGGACACGTGGACGCATCCAGGCCTCAGAGACTTATTGTGGCAAAAGGAGTGTAAAAATCTCAGCTCCTGTTTCACCTGTTCTCTTTGTTTTTTAGCACGGCGCCAGGAACGTTTGGATGCACGTGTGGCTTCCAGGCGTTTCTGTCAGAGCACACTGGCTGCCAGCCCCTCTGCTCTGGGGTGGCCTCTCAGTCACCCTGCTCTGTTCCGTTTTGCCCTTGCAGACCCCACCCCCACGGCCCACCTGTCGTCACAGTGATCGGCGGTGAGGAGCACTTCGAAGATTACGGCGAGGGCGGGCTGTCCCCGGAGGCGCCCTGCAGTGGGGAGGAAGGCTGTGGCGGCCCTGCCCTGCTCATCCCCAGGTAACGGCCCCCTCGTTTCCACAGTGTGATGATGGGCACAGGTCCCTTTTTGGTTCACAAATTGAGAAAAGAAAACTTGCTTTGTTTGATGTAATAAACCATTCCAGATTTGTGAATTTGTACCCGAATGGAAGTTGGCTCAAGTGTCTCACCCGGCGTGTCCCCAGCTCTCCCGAGTGCAGCTAAGCTGGCCTGGAGCAGGGCAGGACGGGCTCTCAGGCTCCAGGCTGCGGGTGTGGTCACATTCTGGTCCTTAGCTGATTCTGAGGGAGGCCTTAGAGTTACAGACGATCCTTTGGATCAGAGCTGCCTGGAAAGTTCTGGTTTGAACTGAAGGAGGAGACGCTTGTGATCACTCATGTGGAGGTGGTTCTTCTGCCGCCTCCTGGGGCTGCTCCCGAGCAGTGCGTTTTGTTTTTATCCAAAACAAGGGACCTTCAGAGGCCTGGAGCCTCTGGCCTATGCTCAGCCCATTGGAAGGCCGCCTGCTGGTGACCTCTGCTGGCTCAGGTGAGACCTTACCTGGCTGCCAGCTTGTACACCACAGCCATCTCTCCCCTTTGCTCCCAGTTCCTTGAATCCTTCATCTTTGGTGACGGCAGCGATTTTGAGAGTCCTCCTCGGCCCAGGGTGTCATGGCCAGGAAGGCCTGGGTAGAGGCGGGTACCGGGAGGGGCCTCTTTCTGTCTCACAGGCTGGGGTCAGGGGCCCCACCTCGACGCCCTGTGCTCTGCGTCCTCCTGTGAGTCCCCAGGAGTGCCGCCCATCCCCAGGAGACACAGTTCACCGACCGTCAGCACCTTTCCTCCCCAGCTCCCTCTTCATGGTGACACTGGGACAGGGCTGCAGGGCCTGGGCGTCCAGAGCTCGCACTGCCGTCCCGTGTTGGAACCTCTTCCTGTTTGTGTAGCGTGTCCCTCTCTCTCATCCAGTGTTCTCATGTTTTCTGTCTGAAGTGGAACTTCTCTGCTACCTTTTGTCTTTCACTTTTAACCTGTCTTTAAATTAAGCTTCATATTAGCTTCCAAAAGCCTGTGGTCCTGAAGTGCTGGACATTGCTTTCTCTGTCTTCATGGGCATCGGCTCAGTACCCCCAAAGCCCATTTAAATCCTGTCATGGGGAGGCTGCCTGACATCCCCAAAAAGCCGACATCTGAGTTTTTCACAAAGGCCTTAGAGTGACAGGCTTGGTGGCGATGGCCCATGCGCCCCTGGTTCTGACGCTGGTGGTTGCGGGGCAGCTGGTAAGGCAGTCCCACGGTGAGAGGGAGGACCCCTGCAGACATGCTTCGGCACCGCGCTTGGGTGTGTTTGGAAAGCTGTCGGTGTGTTCCATCACATCCCTTCTTAAGACGGACCCTTTACTTGCTTTATGGTGACGCCGTCAGGCTGCACCTTCCTTTCTCTGAGCACCTGACCAGGAGGGACCTTCTCCTGCTCAAGCTGGTGTGTCTCGCCCGCTGCGGCCACGGGGTGAGCAGTGGAGGGGGCGCCAGAGCCTCCATGGCGAGGTGTGTCACAGCATGTCTGTCCAGCCTCTCATCCTGGACGTGCAGCCCCCCGCGGGATCCTCGGGTCCTGGCAGGCCCTGGCGCCTCTCCTGAACTGCCCTCTCATCTCTTCAGCTCCGACCTGCTTGCCGCTAAGCTGCACAGCATCTTCACTGATGAGGCGTTTGAGTTTTACTGTAGCCAGTGCCACAAACAAATCAACCGCCTCGAGGACCTCTCAGCCCGCCTGAGTGATCTTGAGATGAATAGGTAACCGGCTTAGTGCTTGGCCTGATTCGTCCCCAGGGGTGAGGGGACCCTTGTGGTCCACAGCACCCACCTGCAGGGCCCTTGCTTGGCTCTGCTGGAGGAGGCTCTAGGGGTCCTCGTGCTGCCCGGCCCCCCTGCATGCCGTGGCCCCTGCACCCCGCCCTCACCGTCGTGTCTGTGCATGTGGCCGACTGACCCGCTTGTGTCCAGTGGGAGGCGGTGGGCTCCAGGCACCGTCGTCTTTGGGCGCCGCGCTCTCCAGCCTAAGGAGACCCTGCTGTGAAATCTGCGCGGAGAGGGATGGGACTTCCTGTTCCTCAGAGAGTTCACGAGGCAACCCTGGGAAACTTAACATGATTTGGTCTTTAAAATGGGTTTGTGATCTGCTCTCAGGAGCACATTTAAATCACAGTGGGCTGTCCCCGAGTGCATTTTGTAAGGGTGCCTCGGACTCAGGCAGTTTCCAGGACTCCAGCTCGTTACCGACTTTGGAACAGGCCCCAGACCCCGAGGCATGCCTTTCCATCCCCTTGTATCTCTTCTCCATCTCGTGGTCCCATTTTTGTCAGAGCCCACCCTGCGCCCCGTGCCCAGTGCCAGCTAAGGCTCTGAGCAGAGGCAGCTCCTTTGCTGCCCACACAGAATCACAAGCTCCAGCTCCAGGTCTCTGTGTGCTGTTTGCAGTGCTGTTGTGCCAAGGGAGCATACCATGGGCCTTGCTTGTAGATGGCCCCTCCCTTGGGGTCGCATCTGGGGAGGCCCAGTGAGAGATGGGCCGAGGTGGCGCTTGTCCTCTGGCCGCCGCAGGGATGAGGCCCTGCGCGGCCGCGTTCCTGCGGGTCGGAGGGAAAGGCATGTCGGGTGCCAGTCGGCCTTGTTGGAGAGGTCAGCCCTGGTGCACACAGGGAGGCAGGAAGGTGACCCTGCTTGGTGGTTTCAGGGTATAGGACTCCTTTAAGAGCTGCTCGCCAGATAGAGGAGCCTGTCTCAGCCCACCCTCAGCTGCCCCCGGCAACCCCCTCAGCCTCAGCCCTGCCAGGTCCATCTTCTGGGCTGTTCGCCTTGGGCCTGCCATCTTCCTCTGGCTCCTGTTCCAGGGCATTTGACGTCTTCTCCATCAGCTCCCTTCATCTAAGACTTGCTTAGCGGTGAGGTGTGCATGCCTGCAGCATCGCAAATGGAGCCCTCCACAGTTGGAGAGGATGGGATGGAGCCTGGCACTGTGGCCAGCAGGGACCTTGGGCGCTGAGGGGGAGGACAGCAAAGCCATTTGACAGGAGAGTGAACCAGGGGTCGGCGAGTGCTCAGGTGAAGGACAGTGGAGCACTGGACAGGAGAGTCAACGGCGCCCCAGCAGCATCGGTGAGAACCCAGCAAGCACCCTCAAGTAGGCCTCTGGGGATTCTGGGGAGTCGGCACCTGGTGATTGTGGAGCCCCTTTGGCCTCTTGGGAAGATGGTGAAGGGCTGGTGGTCTTTCCACGGGCAGACTCGTCACAGCTGCGCACAGGCTGGCGCCCGGGTGTGTCATCTCGGCACTTCTCTCTGTCTCCGGGACCTCGGTCATGAAGGTGCTCTTTTCCCACATTGAGGACCTCTCCCGTGATAGCGTGGGCACCTCTGCCTGGCTTTTTAGGGCCGAGAATGAACTGAGATGCGGCGGCTTGCAGCCAGGAAGCCCAGCTGCCTCCTGCCCAGTCACAGTCCCCTCCTCTGAGAAGGACTGTACCTGGTGGGTGAGTGTTCCAGCAAATCATCACAGTCAGAAAATCACCCTGAGCACTTAGCTGAGGAGCACGGTGTCCTGCCTGACGATGGCCTCCAAGTAAACGTATTTTGTGGAAATAGAAGGTGATTTAGTCCAAACAGTGTCCTGAAGCTTTGGCGTCAGATGTAGCGTCTGCCCAGCGAGTCTCCAGAGCATGCCGACAGCAGCCATGTCTCCCAGGCACCTGGAACTTCCGTAGAGGCGGGTTTTGTCTTTGGGCATTAAGAAGGCCGCCTCGGCCGGAAGTACTGTTTCCAGTTACAGACCCTGTCACTGGACTGCCAGGCCAGTCCCCGAGGGCCGGCGTTGAACGGAACGGGGGCCAGGTATCTTCAGGGAGTTTCGGTGATGTCAGAATGGAGCCAGACTCATGTTACAGTCCACGGTACCACTCAGGGTTCAGTCAGGAAAGGGGAGCCACACAGGAACTCGCGCAGGGAAACGTTAGTATAAAGAATTACTGACTATAACAGGATTGGAGAAATGACGCATTGGCCAGTCAGAGTAAAAAGAGTTCTAAAGGATGAAGGAGCAGCACTGTAAGGAACAGCTGCCATGCCTGAGGCTGCATGCAGTAGAGCCCTCCGATGGAGTGACCCCCACCCGGGGCTGAGACGGGGGCTTGCTGGAGATGGCATGGCCGTGGCAGGATGATAGAGCTCCCACCGTGTGCTGTGCTGATGGGACGTGCTGGAATTCCACCCTCTAGGCTGCAGGGAAAGCTGTTCGCAGGGAGGGTCTCACCAGTGGCACCTCACTACAAGACCACCCGAGGAGGTGATGGGGTTGCTGCTGACCAGTGGGTGCTGCCAGCACGGGGGAAGATGCACAGTGTGGGACCCTGCTGAGGGAACACCCCAGAACCAAGAAGCAAGCCTTCCTCCTGCACTGTCTCTCCAGCACCCTCTGCTGTCAAATTTAGCATCACAAAGGAACAATAAAGGGCCCAGATCCAATTCCACAGAGCAGGAAAGGGCAGATTTGGAGCTGAGCAGCAATGAATGGTAACTGGCACCTCACGCACTTCTCCCCAGATAGACCTTTCTGCCTGAGCCTTAAAGAGGACCACAGGTGTGTGTCAGATGAGCAAGCTGGAGAGGGGCGTCCCCAGACGGTGCTGAGGGTTTGAGGCAGCGATCATTCTTGTGCTGGGAGATGAGGTGTGTCTTCTCATAGGTTGAAGTCATAGTTTACTGTTAAACTGGAAAGTAACTTTGGATGTCAGAAATGAGAGCCAAGGTAAGTTGGGCCCTTTTCACCTCCAGAAATGGGTAAATTAGAAGGATAAGTTGTAATTGACTAGGATAACTGCCCTGAAATGTTGGCACTGCCCAGCTGGGATTTCGGAGTGTGAAATGTCAGTGCCTGACTTAGAACCGGTGACAGAGTCTCCTGTTAGGAACAGGCCCATGTCCCTTTCCCTGTGGTGGACCCTCTGGTGGCCGAGCGTTTGGAGAGTGGCAATTTGGCTTGTCTTTGGGACGTGGCGTTGGCTGGGATCAGACCCAGTGCAGCCAGCTGGTGGGTCCAGGCGGTGGGGGTGGCCTCTGAGCCGAGGTCAGGTTGTAGCTCCATCTGAAAGTGATATTGGGGACGGGATACGAGTTGCCAGGAGGCCTTGAGGGAGCCCCTGGGTTGCTCCTTCCCTTGCATGCTTTGCTGATGAATGAGGTTTCTGCGCATGGGGCTTGTCTGGGGGAGCGGGCGTTGCATGCTTTTGTGCGCTGTTGGAAAAGACAGCCCCATCCCCATATCTCTTTAGCCCAAATTTCCTGTTTCCTCCTGTTCTTCTCTGACCGTTCTCTGACACTGTTTTCCTGTTTATTTTGATTTTTGCACAGCCCGACAAAGCGGCTTTCCAGCAAGAAGGTTGCAAGGTAGGCAAGATACTTTATTATTTATTGAAAAATGTTTTTCTGAAATATATTATTAATCATAATCTTTTAAAGAGCATTTTAAAAATACTTTCTTTTCTAGGGTATTTAAGAAAACTTGTAAAAGTTGCTGTTCATGGTTTGGGATTTTAAGTAACTTGAGGGGACCGGTGTGGAAAGTATTTCCCAGGGCTGTGGATTAGGACCTGGGTTTGTGACTAGGACGCATAGTTGAAAGCTTCGAGTGTTCCTCATTTACTGGGTCTTCACTGTGTGGCCTGGAGGGGCTGGTGTCTCCAGAGGTCTGCCATGGATGAGCTTGTTAGGAGAGTCAGTGCAGCCCAGCTTACAGAGCTGCTGCAGAAGGGAGCCCGTGCCGGGCCCGCCTCATTCCCAGCTGTACTCTTTCGGCCCGCACGGTCCTTCCCAGCACATCCCGGGGCCGCCTTGGTGAGGGTGAAGGTGGGGCGTCTGGCACCGTGTTTCTGAATGATGTCTGTTGTGGCCCTGTCCTCATCTTTCAGCTTTAGATGTATCTGTTGGCTTCCTGACCTGAGAGGACAGCTTCCAGGATTCCTCCCCTCCCTCCAGCGTAGTATATGGCGCTTCGCTGTGGTGCCAGGGGTTTTCACAGAAAGCCACGTAACACGTTACTGTTCTATGCTTCCTTTCTAAGACAGGTTAATGAGTGTCCGCATTTGGTTTATTTGCTTCTTCTGGGCTCCTCTCCCACCATCCCTGTGATGGAGCCCTGTGCCTCCTCCCAGCTCTGCTCTGAGCCCATCCCTCCTGGCCCTGGACCGGCTGCGTGCCGTGGTCCTGGGAGCTCCTTCCCTTCCCTGTCCCAGGTGTTAGATCGTCAGCTCCTTGTGCCCCGTCTTCCTTCTGGTGCTGCCTTCATTGTTGGTGCTGTAGCTTCTTGAGAAAAGCAGTGCATGGGAGATAAGCCTTTGAGGCCTCGCCTTTTTGAAAATGTAGTTAATTCTTGCACATTGGCTTGGAGTAGAGCTCCAGACTGGAAATAATTTTCCTCCAGGATTTTTGAAGGCACTGCTCATTATCTCCTCATTCGGGGTTGTGCTGAGAGATGCAGTGCTTTCTGCTGCTTGTTCCTTTGTGACAGCTTCCCCGGTCTAGAAGCTTTTAGGGTGTTTTCTTTATCCCTGGGGTTCAGAAATGAGTCATCTTGTGAATCGTTTTTTTTTCCTCATTAATTATTCTAAGCAAAACAAAAAATGTGCATTTCAATCTGGATGCTTATGTCCCTTAGTGCTGGGAGATCTCCTGAGCTGCTTCTCTGTGGCCTCCACCTTCCAGTCCTCTTTCTGGAGCTCCCGCCATGTCAACTTGCTCTCCTGCCCCCACTACCCCTCTGCTCTGCACTCAGTCAGGGGCTGTCATCCCTGCCAAGGGTGGGTGCTCTCTGGCTGACACAGTCTCTCTTAGGCGAGGCTCTTCATGGGTTCTGGGGTCACGTGGCTCTGCCCCGCCCCCCGCTCCGCCCCGTGAGACCTGCAAGATGGAGATGCAGTAACACTGTTGAATTTGTTGTGAGGATGAAGCAGCTGTATGACAAGGACTCAGTGGAGCCTGGCACACTGGTTCTCTGATGTGGCGTGTCCCTGCCTTCCCCATGCCCAGCCCCTCGAGGCGTCCCAGGCCCTCTAGTTGGGAGGCTTGGGCCCCGCTGTTGGTGAAGTCTGGGGCCTGACCTAGAGCCCACATTGGAGGCATAAGGACAGTGATTAGAAGGGAGCAGTTGTCAATTGTTCCACCCTCTGGACCCAGCACCCTCTTGAGCGTCAGCTGACATCCACAGGCTGGTCCCAAGGTTTCTCCTGTGCCGTGTAAGGCTTGCTTGGGGATCCGCAGTCTCAGGGAAGTGCCCCTCTGCCCACTCAGGGCATATTCGGGGTCCGCGGTCCCAGGAACTTCCCAGACCACATGGCCCAGCCATGGTGAAGATGCTATCCTTCTTTGTCCCTTAGAATGTTTCTGGGGAAAAGAACCAAATTTAGGAAATGTTTAAACTCAGTCATTGCTAAAGTGGAAGTAGAACCTGATAGACTTGATCATCATCATGTAAGAATGTATGTTCATTAGCAGCGTATAGGATTCTTACTCTGCCAGGGCCTCAGCAAAGCCGCTCACGTACACGACCTTTCAGGTCCTGCGAGCTGCTGTCTTGCTGTGTTCTGGGTGGCAGCTCTGAGCCCAGCAAGCTCCCCTAGCAGGCAGACATGCTGTTTGCGCTGCCCAAGTGCTCCAGGTGAACTAGAGGTTAATGTATGTTTCCACAGCGAGGAGGTAACTTTAACCTTGTCTTTACTGAGCCACCTGCCCAAGGTGCTAACAGCTGAGGATGGAGGAGGGCGGGAGGGAGGGAAGGAAGGAAGGAACCCTGTGGGGTGGCCCCTGTCTTGAGTCCGTGGTGAGGGGAGCCCTGGAGAGTTTCTGTCAGGACTGCAGAGCCGGTGCCCCCCCCCACCACAGCCCTGTTCTGGGTAGCACCTGGCATGAGGGGTGGAGCTGGAGACCTGTTGGCAGGACTGGGCCGTGGAGCTGCTGCTGTAGTGCGTGCAGGCGTGCTGGGCGTGGAGCGAGGCTCCAGGGCCCACCCCTTCCCCAGGGCTCTGTTGGTGCTGTGGGGAACAGACTTGAGAACAGGCCCCGAGTGGGTGTACGGGTGCCTGAGCAGAGTTGTGGGCCTGCATTAACGGTTCACTGGCCTGAAGGAGGCGAGATTACTGCGGTCTCAGAGGATGCACAGTGTTTTTATTGCTGCAGAGTGCAAAGTACCTCATCCCGCCACCCTGGCCTAGGAGGTCAGGGTTTTATCAAGCTCCAGAGAGCACCAGAGGGACTCTGGGACCTGCTCACCAAGCTGTGGGCAAAGGCATCCTGCTGGGAGCCCCATGCTGTCCTTCGGTCAGGGAGACCTTCACAGAGAGGCCGCGTCTGCGCGGACGTGCCTGTGTTCAAAGAGCTGTCCGTTCTGCTCTATTTCTGCCTGTCTCCCTTCCTGCTGGTGTGGGACCTCCTGTGCATTGGGCTTCTGCTGTGTTTGTCCTCAGGCACCTGCACCAGTCTGGGGCCCTGACCATGGAGGCTCTGGAGGACCTGCCCCCCGAGCCCATGGAGGGCACTGAGGAGGCCATTGCTGACAAGGTGGGCTGCTGTCCCACTTCCCCCCGTCCTGCTGTCCCCCTTACCCTCTTCCTGACGTCCCCCTTCCCCCCTTCCTGACATCCCCTTTCCCCTCCTCCAGGTGTCCCCCTTCCCCTGCTCCTGACGTCCCCCTTCCCCCCTTCCTGACATCCCCTTTCCCCTCCTCCAGGTGTCCCCCTTCCCCTGCTCCTGACGTCCCCCTTCCCCCCTCCTGCTGTCCCCCTTCCCTCCCTCCTGACATCCCCCTTCCCAGCCTCCTGACATCCCCTTCCCCCCATCCTGGCGTCCCCCTTCCTCTCCTCCTGGTGTCCCCTCACCTCCACGGCTCCTCAGCATCTCATGCTCTGTGAGGTTTCTCTGGCCCTCGAGGCCGAGCCCTGTTTCTGCTCACCTTCGTTCTTCCTACTGCCTGTGTGGGTTGGGTGTCTGTCTACTGCAGAGAGGGAGGGAGAGGCCAAGACACCAAGCCTTGCTGTCCTTTGCACTCCCAGCACTTGGGGTGCCTTGTGGGCTGCATCAGAAATGCAGACCACCCCCCAGGCCCACTTCAGGGTCTCAGCGACGTGTGCATCTGCTCACGAGGGTGGGGTGCCCCAAGAGCCGGCCGGGCCTAGTGCACTTCTCTTCTCCCTGGGAAGATCTCGGTGTGGGTCCTAGACGCTCCGCCTGGTGGGCGTGGGCCCTCCACAGCTTCACCTGCTTCTCAAGCCAGTGTCTCATTGCAAGGTTGTCTTCCTGGAGAAGCGGGTGTCTGAGCTAGAGAAGGACAGCCTGGCCAACGGGGAGCAGCACAGCCGCCTGCGGCAGGAGAACCTGCAGCTCGTACACAGGTGAGTGTGTAGGGGGAAGGCCAGCCACTCAGGTTAGGTGAGGGAGGGAGGCTGGCCACTCAGGTAGGGTGAGGGAGGAAGGCTGGCTGCTCAGGTGAGGTGAGGGAGGGAGGCTGGGCACTCAGGTGAGGTGAGGGAGGAAGGCTGGCCACTCAGGTGAGGTGAGGGAGGAAGGCTGGCCACTCAGGTGAGGTGAGGGAGGAAGGCTGGCCGCTCAGGTGAGGTGAGGGAGGGAGGGAGGCCAGCCACTCGCGGTGAGGGAGGGAGGCCGGCGGGGACTCAGGTGAGGTGAAAAAGGGAGGGAGGCCAGCCACTCAGGTGAGGTGAGGGAGGGAGGCTGGCTGCTCAGGTGAGGTGAGGGAGGGAGGCTGGCTGCTCAGGTGAGGTGAGGGAGGGAGGCTGGCTGCTCAGGTTAACTGAAGGAGGAAGACTGGCCGCTCAGGTGAGGTGGGGGAGGGAGGCCGGCGACTCAGGTGAGGTGAAAAAGGGAGGGAGGCCAGCCACTCAGGTGAGGTGAGGGAGGGAGGCTGGCCGCTCAGGTGAGGTGAGGGAGGGAGGCTGGCCGCTCAGGTGAGGTAAGGGAGGGAGGCTGGCTGCTCAGGTGAGGTGAGGGAGGGAGGCCAGCCACTCGAGGTGAGGGAGGGAGGCCAGCTGCTCAGGTGAGGTGAGGGAGGGAGGCTGGCTGCTCAGGCGAGGTGAGGGAGGGAGGCTGGCTGCTCAGGTTAACTGAAGGAAGAAGACTGGCCACTCAGGTGAGGTGGGGGAGGGAGGCCAGCCACTCAGGTGAGGTGAGGGAGGGAGGCCGGCCACTCAGGTGAGGTGAGGGAGGGAGGCCGGCTGCTCAGGTGAGGTGAGGGAGGGAGGCCGGCTGCTCAGGTGAGGTGAGGGAGGGAGGCCAGCCGCTCAGGTGAGGTGAGGGAGGGAGGCTGGCAACTCAGGTGAGGTGAAAAAGGGAGGGAGGCCAGCCACTCAGGTGAGGTGAGGGAGGGAGGCTGGCTGCTCAGGTTAACTGAAGGAGGAAGACTGGCCACTCAGGTGAGTGGAGGGGAGGTTAGCTGCTCAGGTGAGGTCAGGGGTGGGAGAAGGCCGCTGCTCAGGTGAGGTGAAAAAGGGGAGTGGCTGCCGCTCAGGTAAAGTGAGGAGGAAGGCCAGCTGGGGCAGGAAGACCCGGGTCTACTGTTGGTGGCTCCTGTGCTCCCATAAGCACAGCCACAGTGGCGTCTCCCAGGAAGCATTGGGATGCGCTGTCCTCGCCAGCTGCCCGGTTCACACCATGGCTCTGCCATAGACTTGGTGACCTTGGGGACAAGGGCTATGTCCCTCTGAGCCTCAGTTTCTCCTCTGCGATCTGAGGGCACAAGAACTGTCTCAGAGTCCCAAGCAGCGGCCTACACCTGGCAGCCAGCACTCCCCAAGGCCACGGGGACGCTGGACATCGTCCACCTGGGAGCCAGCGCTCCCCGAGGCCACAGGGATGCTCAACGTCCTCTGTGGCCTTCTCACCTCAGGTTAAGTGGACATGGTTGGTCTGCTTCTGGACACACTGTGCTGCTGTGGCACAAGCTCACTTCATGCTAACAGTGAGAACGAGCTCCCTGGAGGAGCCAGGCCTGGCCGCTGCCCGCTCACTGAGTTCTCACCGGAGCCTGCCTGCCTGCTGCCAGGCCAGAGGGGGCCTGGGGGCCTGTGGGTGTTGAGCGTAAGCTGCATCTCAGAAGATGTTACGGCCTCCCTGTCTTTGTCAAGAGGAAGCTGGACAGGCCACCCAGACCCCTGCCACTGACCAGAGAGGTCTCCTTCCAGTGTGATGAGCATGCTGGGGCACCGCCCTGCTCTGCCCAACCTCACTGCTACCCCCTCCCGGGGCCAGCCCTCCTGGTTCTTGTGGATGCTGCCTCTGGTGTCGCCACAGTTTCGTACATGGCTGCCTGTCCCGCAGAAGAAGGGGAGCCTCCGGGGTCAGTGCAGGTCCCCACAGGTGGGCACCTGGCAGGCTTGTGTCCCCTGGAAGAGTCTCCTCCACATGCAGTGAGGGGGCAGGGGGTGCAGGTGTGGCCAGGATGGGTGAGGTCCCACCTGAGAATGACGGAGACTATGCCTGCCTCCGTGACTTTGCCGTGGTCCTGCAGCCGGATGCACTCAGGGTGGTGGAGTGGAGATGTTGGGGGCACATGTCGCTTCAGAGCTGCCCCAACAGAGCTCCTGTGGAAAGCCTCCCCTGCCTCCCTTAGTGTCCCCACATCTCTCCTCCCTCCCCCAGTGTCCCCACATCTCCCCTGCCTCCCCCACTGTCCCTGCATCTCCCCTGCCTCCCCTCTGCAGCTCCGCCCACAGTCGCTAACCTGGGGGCTCTGTAGGCTCACCTCACCTCTCTGCCTCTGCAGAGCCAATGCCCTGGAGGAGCAGCTGAAGGAGCAGGAGCTGCGGACCTGCGAGCTGGTCCTGGAGGAGGCCCGGAAGCAGAGGGAGCTGCTCTGCAGGATGGAGCGGGAGAAGAGCATCGAGATTGAGAACCTGCAGGCCAGGTGGGTGGGCGGAGAAGATGCCGGCCTTCCAGCACTCAGGAATCACCATGAGAGATGGGAGGGAGTGGTGGTGTTGTTAGCAAAAGCCCCCCCTACCCCAGAAAGGCACACCATCTAGGGATAAACTTAACTTTAGACAAAGTGGAAAACACATGTGAAGAAAAGAACCCACTGGAAGGCCCCGGAAGCTCTGAATCCTAAGACATCGGTCTGTTTGGCACTGCTTCTCGTTGGTGCCCCAGTCAGAATACCTACCTGATTTTTAAGGGGAAGGTGACAAAATTATTCTTATGTTCATCTGGAGGCATAAACCTAAGAAGAGTCAGGGAAAGCCCGGAGAAGAAGGGCCTGACCCTGTGTAGAAAGCGTCCCAAAGGCCTGGGGGTCAGGGCAGCATGGTGCACCGAGTGAGCGGTGCCATGGTGTAGGAGCTCAGCTGCAGCCACTCAGGGTCAGTCTACAGAGGTAAATGCATGGGTTGTGTCTCCAAACCAGAGGTTATACGTAAGAATCACCTGGGGATCTTGTTAAAATGTAGATTTTGATTCAGATATCTGGAGGTGGAAATGCAGATTCTCAGTAGGAAATTTGTTAGAAATGAAAATTCTCAGCTGGGGTTTGAACGAGAACAAACTGGTTCGAAGCCCTGCTCCAAACATCGTGTAAGTGGAAAACAGCAGGTGACCCAAATGCCCGTTAGCAGGAGTGGTTAAAATTGTTAGTATCTCTAAGGTGATGGTGATGTCCCACAGCTTCTCAGAGTGAGCCTTGGCACGTGTCTGCACTTGGGTTGGGAGTCTTCTACTTTCTATATGGTTTTATTGATGTTTTGCCCTCTCAGTCCGCGGAGCTTCCCCCATGTGTGTGCAGGTGCGGGGTGAGTGCCTGCATGTGGATGCGTGTGTGTGTGTGTGTGTGTGTACAGGTGTGCCTGCCTGTGTGTGTGCATGTGTGCACGTGTACAGGTGTGCCTGTGTGTGTGTGTACAGGTGTGTGTATACAGGTGTGCCTGTGTGCACCTGTGGATGCGTGTGTAAGGCATGCCTCTGTGTGTGTGTGGGTGCATGTGTACAAGTGTCTGGGTGTGTGTGTACAGGTGTGTCTGGGTGCGTGTACAGGTGTGTCTGGGTGTGTGTGTACAGGTGTGTCTGGGTGCGTGTACAGGTGTGTCTGGGTGCGTGTGTACAGGTGTGTCTGGGTGTGTGTACAGGTGTGTCCATGGGTGTGAGTGTGCAGGTGTGTCTGGGTGTGTGTACAGGTGTGTCCATGGGTGTGAGTGTGCAGGTGTGTGTACAGGTGTGTCTGTGGGTGTGTGTATAGATGTGTCTGGGTGCGTGTGTACAGGTGTGTCTGGGTGCGTGTACAGGTGTGTCTGGGTGCGTGTGTACAGATGTGTCCATGGGTGTGAGTGTGCAGGTGTGTGTACAGGTGTGTCTGGGTGTGTGTATAGATGTGTCTGGGTGCGTGTGTACAGGTGTGTCTGGGTGCGTGTACAGGTGTGTCCATGGGTGTGAGTGTGCAGGTGTGTGTACAGGTGTCTGTGGGTGTGTGTATAGATGTGTCTGGGTGCGTGTGTACAGGTGTGTCTGGGTGCGTGTACAGGTGTGTCCATGGGTGTGAGTGTGCAGGTGTGTGTACAGGTGTCTGTGGGTGTGTGTATAGATGTGTCTGGGTGCGTGTGTACAGGTGTGTCTGGGTGTGTGTATAGATGTGTCTGGGTGTGTGTGGACAGGTGTGTCTGGGTGTGTGGACAGGTGTGTCTGGGTGTGTGGACAGGTGTGTCTGGGTGTGTGTGGACAGGTGTGTCCGTGGGTGTGTGTGGACAGGAAGGTATACCTATGGGGGTACACTTTATGGTCTTCAGTGTCTGTAGAAGAGGATTCCAGGTGTTTTTTTTTCATGCTCTTAAAGCAAGGAAGAGGTGTTGTCTGGCTTTCTCTCTGAGCTCCTGAGTGTTTTCAGGAGTGGAGGCTGGAAGGGCAGGAGGGCTGCAGGGGAGGGCCAAGCCTGCGGGGGCCAGGGCCCTGCCACCGGTACCTGGTGCAGCCACTGTCCTCATGAGCAGATGTGCAGGGCAGGGTCTCCTGGGCACTGGCAGTGTGGTGGGGCTGGGAGGGGACCTGGCCGTGACGCTGCCATGGCGTCCATATCACACCTTAGACTGGCTGGCCCCAAGGTGGCTGTGGGCTGCTGGCCCGGAGCCTAGACAGCAGTGGTGTCCTGCTGTGGAGGGGAGGAGAGCACAGAGCAGGCAGGGCTCTGAGGTTCCCCTACAAACCCGGCGCTGGGCCCAGCTGGCTCCCTGTGGCTTCCTGAAGCAGCCGTGGGCCTGGTTCTTGGTGCCTGAGCCCAGTGTCCTCCTGGTGGCTGGTGCCCGAGCTGGCCTCAGTGCAGCACCGAGAGGGCTGCGTGTGTACAGGTCTCTGCTGAGTCCACTGTGTGCACTGTGCTGCCCAGAAGACAGCGAGGTCTCGGGAGGGTCCTTGGTGAAGAGGCATGCGTTAAAGCTGAAGGGGCACAGGGCAAAGGAGAGCAAGGGACTGTAGTCTGTGGTCGCCTGCTTGGGGACGGGAAGGACCATCAGGAGCATGGCAGAGCAGCAGGATGGGGTGAGCTGCCAATGTCACAAAGCAGAGGGTGGTGCTAGGTGCCACGGGGTGTCAAGAAGAGGTCAAAGAAAAGCCACTTACCCATGGGAGCAGGGAGTCCATGTCACCTGGGGTAGGGGGGGGCCTCTGGTAAAGGGCAGAAACACCCATGGGCAGCATGGAGCTGGGCGTGAACGGGCTGGGGACACGGCCTGGTCTCACAGCGCCTGCTGCCCGTTGGTGTCACGAGTGAGACGCGGCCCAGGTCGAAAACGGGGCTTTGAGCACATCACCGTGGACTGTGGTGCCAGCACTCAGGTCTCAGCCTGTGTGGGCGAGACACCCATTCACAGTGCCCTATGGCACACAGCATGTCCTTCCAGCAAATGTGGTGGAGGCTTTCCCCCAGGCTTGGTGATGAAGGAAGGAGAAGGGAAAGCGACAGAGAGAGAGAGACACAGGAGCTACCACCGGGAGACAGACTCATTGTTACTGGAACAGGCTCCAGGTGGGAAGGAAGACATGGTTGGATGCCAGCGAGAAAGTTGTCGCCCTCTGGTGATGTTATGCAGGCTTCAAATGATGAAGAAAAAGCAAGTGTTATTTCGAAAAAGAAATAGCTCAGAGACAGAGAATTGAAGGCATTCATTATGTCCACCCTAGCAAGACATCAGGAATGAAAAGCGTCTTCACGTTTTGAAGACACAAACGCAGAAGGGCAGAGAGGGGGAGTGAGCCCTGCCACACAGCATTTCTGAGGCCTGTGGAAACCTTAGAGAGAACTCAGAGCTGGTGGGGGCCAGGCAGGGAGTGCCAGGATTTACCCTGCAGCCCCAGAAAGCTCAGGAGCTGGAGCAGCAGCTGCCTCTGGAAGTTGGGCTGAAGACAAGGATAAAACAAGAGACCCCACAGGTGTCCTGCCCACGCCCCACCTGCGAAGCGAGGTCCCTGGACTGCAGGACACTGCACGGCTGAGGACGGAATCGCGTGGGCCACCTGCCCGCTGCCAGCCCACCAGACCCTGGCAGGGAGCACGCGTGGCCTTGGGTGAACCATGGACCTCCTGGTCTTCTCACTAACCGCATCTGGTGAACGGGCGCTGGTCCTGTGCTGTGTGGGCACTGGCTGGTGGGGTACACGGAATGGCAGCGTCAGCAGGACAGCAGAGAAAAGGGTTATGGGAGGTGCTGGTGCTCTTGAGGAGTGGCTCGTTCCAGGCCACGCAGGGAGGGCACAGGATGCAGGAAGAAGGGTCGCTCGAGAACAGGGCAGGAGGGTTGGTGGACATAGTGCCAGCTGGACGAGCCCATCGGTTAGGCTGAGCAGCTGTGGGAGAGTCTGGCAGCGGCCCGTGCTGACTTAAATGAGTGATGGATAAATAATAAATAGGAAAAAAGAAGAACCTCTTTCCAGATAATACGTCTGTAGAGACCCCTCGGGGGTGGGGTGCACCCTGCAGCAGGGGCTGGACTCTGACCTGCTGCCCAGAACAGAGATGAGCAAGGAAGCAGTAACCCTCAGTGGAGATGCCACAGACACACTTAACGCCAGGTTGTCAGGGTGGACAGCATCAGGATGTCATGTGGATGCCGTGCACCCCAATACAGTGTGACAAGATGGCCCTCCCCTCTGTGTGTGCCCCAAAACCCATCACCCTGTCTGATCATGGAGAAAGCACCAGACAAACTCCATTTGAGCACATTCTGCAAACCGCCAGCCTGGGCTCCTCAGACCTGTCCAGGTCACGAACAACAAGGAAGGTCTGAGAGGATGTGAGGACAGGATGCGGTGTGGCCCCTGGACAGGTCTCCGATAGGAGAGGGCATTGTCAGGACCCTGTCAAGTCTGGAGCTGGGTCATCCAGTATACCACTGTGGCTTCTCGGTAGTGACGGCAGCGCATTGCACTGAGCGCCGGGAGCAGGAGGGAAACCAAAGCCAGGCAGGGGGGCATATGAGGTGGGAGCACACGGTGGGGAGGGGTACGTAGGGGCTCCTGTCCGCCTGAGGGTGGTGGGTGGAGGCCTCAGGAGCAGGCTGTGGTGATTTGGGAACAGATGTGTGGTAGGGCAGTCCTATGCAAGGTTCTCTGGAGAAGCTGGTCCCGTGGAGGTGCCGGCGTGGTCCCAGCCTTGTGTGTGTCCCAGGCTGCAACAGCTGGACGAGGAGAATGGTGAGCTTCGGTCCTGCACGCCCTGCCTGAAGGCCAGCATCGAGCGCTTGGAGGAGGTGAGGCTACAGGGTTGGGGGCGCGGAGACAGGCCCTCTGAGATGGGGTCCTGCCTGGTGGACTGGGTAGGGGTGTGCCAGTGGGTGGGATGAGGCCAGCACAGGGGTCCCTCTGCCGAGAGAGCCTGCAGGCACCGTGTCCGCCTCTCTCTGCGCTGACTTCCACCCGGAAGCGTTCTTGGGCCCTGGAAGAGCCAAGTACCAGTGTTGTCATCCTGGCCTGTAGCAGCGCCGCTCTGGGCCAGCCATCTGGGTCCCCGGGGGCGAAGGAGTGGTTACAGGTGCTGAGACGGGGCGAGGTTGGGTGGCACGTTCTGGAGTAGAAAACCCTTTCTCTGCAGGAGAAGCGGAAACTGCTGGATGAGATCGAGGACCTGACACTGAGGCTCAGTGAGGAGCAGGAGGACCGGCGCAGGGTGGGCGACCGGCTGAGCCACGAGCGGCACCAGTTCCAGAGGGACAAGGAGTCCACCCAGGAGGTAGGCTTGCCCTTTCCCTGCGCACCTTGTCCCCGCAGCCCTCGTCCCCTCGTCCCTCCATCCCCTCGTCCCTGCATCCCCTCGTCCCCTCGCCCCTTGTCAATGCCCACTTCTCTGCCCTGAGGAGATGCCTGGTGACTCTGGGACAAGGGGCTGTGTGGTCCTAGACTGCGGTCTTCCCCGCGGACCTTGGACATCTCGGGCCAGATCCCCTGCCGTGGGCGCCTTGGGCACCGGGGGGTGTTGAGCGGCACACCCACCTGCCTCCACCGACAGATGCCAGGACCACCCCGTTCGTGATGACTCAGACTGTCCCAGATGTCATCTGGCCCTAGTTGAGAACTCTGACTAGTTTCCGCCCCGGTAGCTCCATGCCGTCTTTGTAACATTCCGTTCTGGCCCCTTCGCCTCACGGAGCTCGCCCACGCACCACCTGGGCACCGTGCGCACCTCTGTGTCGGTGTGCAGCTCCGTCTGCATCACGTGCTGTCCACTGGGCAGGACCTGAGGATGCCCTTCGTTTCCCAAGATGTGCGTCTCAAATGTGCCGCTCTGGGCGGAGGTGCTGGGTGCAGGTCTGTCAATGGGGACGTGTGTCCTTGTCCACCCAGATGCGGTCAGGAGAGTATATGATGAGCTAACAGTTGCCCATCCCTGGCGCCCAGCCCCCCACATCTGGCCCCCTTATGTGTCCAGCACTTGTGGGCCCGGCCCACGCCCCATGTGTCCAGCTCCCTGTGTGCCCAGCTCCCAGTATGCTCAGCTCCCCATATGCAGCTCCCTGTGTGCCCCGCTCCCCATATGTCCAGCTCCCCATGTGCCCTATGTGCCTAGCTCCCCGTGTGCCCAGCTCCCCATGTTTCCAGCTCCCCTTGTGCCTAGCTCCCCGTGTGCCCAGCTCTCCATGTGCCTCATGTGTTCAGCTCTCCGTGTGCCCTGTGTGCCCAGCTCCCCGTGTGCCCAGCTCTCTGTATGCCCAGCTCCCCGTGTGCCCAGCTCCCCATGTGCTCAGCTCTCCGTGTGCCCTATGTGCCCAGCTCCCCGTGTGCCCAGCTCCCCTTGTGCCTAGCTCCCCATGTGCCCAGCTCTCCATGTGCCTCATGTGCCCAGCTCTCCGTGTGCCCTGTGTGCCCAGCTCCCCGTGTGCCCAGTTCTCCGTGTGCTCAGCTCCCCATGTGCCCAGCTCCGCATGTGCTCAGCTCTCCGGGTGCCCCGTGTGCCTGGCTCCGTGTGTGCCCAGTTCCCTGTATGCCCAGCTCCCCATGTGCCCAGCTGTCCATGTGCCCTGCTCCCGGGATGCCCAGCTCTCTGTGTGCCCAGCTCTCTGTATGCCCAGCTCCCCGTGTGCCCAGCTCCCCATGTGCTCAGCTCTCCGTGTGCCCTGTGTGCCTGGCTCCCTGTGTGCCCAGTTCCCTGTATGCCCAACCCCCCATGTGCCCAGGCCCCTGTATTCCCAACCCCCCTGTGTGCCCTCCCCTCCACCTCTTTGTGGTTTTCCTGCAGCTAATCGAGGATCTCCGGAAGCAGCTGGAGCACCTGCAGCTGTTGAAGCTGGAGGCGGAGCAGCGGCGGGGCCGGAGCAGCAGTGCGGGCCTCCAGGAGTACAACAGTCGTACCCGAGAGAGCGAGCTGGAGCAGGAGGTCCGCAGGCTGAAGCAGGTAGGCGGGCAGCCACGGGCTCAGACCAGGCTCGGTCCCTGGGAGCAGCAGGGATGGCCCTGGATCGGTCCCTCGGTCCTGCAGATGGTCCGGGGCCATCTGTTCCTCCCTGAGAGCTGGAAGAGGACGGCGTGACCAGGATAGGCGGGGACACGTGGAGGGACTGACTTTGCCGCTGCTGCCCCCACTGCAGGACAACCGGAGCCTCAAGGAGCAGAACGACGAGCTCAACGGGCAAATCATCAACCTGAGCATCCAGGGCGCCAAGAACCTCTTCTCCACGTCCTTCTCTGAGTCCCTGGCTGCGGAGATCAGCTCAGTCTCCCGCGATGAGGTAACGCCGCTGGACGGTGGGGCCCCTCCCTTCCCCCCAGCCCGTTCCCAAGATGCCCACTGTCTTGCCACAGCTCATGGAGGCCATCCAGAAGCAGGAAGAGATCAACTTCCGCCTGCAGGACTACATCGACCGCATCATCGTGGCCATCATGGAGACCAACCCGTCCATCTTGGAGGTGAAGTAGGACACCGGATGCCGTGCGTGCGACTGCACGGAGCCAAGACCATGGCCCGGCAGCTGACTGCCCAGAGCCAGGCTGGTGGCCGCCGGCCGGGGCGCCAGGGCGGGAGGTGCAGGGAGGAAGATGGGCCACACAGGAGAGGTGCTGGGGCCTGCGTTTGCCCCGACCCCATGTCTGCCCAGCGGGCACTGAGCCTGCACTGCTCCCTCCTCTCACAGAGACTGTGGGAATTTCCGGACCGGGCGAGCACCCCCACCACCCTGTTAGACCCCTTGCCCCCATCTGCCCAGCCCTGGGGGCTGTGGTGCATCAGGGAACGGAAATGGGGGACAGGCCTCGGTCCCTGCCTGGATGCAGTGGTCAGGGAGGCCAGTGGGAGTCAGGGCTTCTCCCTTCTTGGCTTTCTGGGGCGTCTCCCTGTAGTAGCCTGTGTCGCCTCTGAACTACTCAGGGCACTCGGTCAAACTCACAGGCTCCCGACCGGTGGCTGGACCCTTCGCTGCAGTAACCCTGGGCAGGCTCTGACTGGGGCTTCCTTGGGGGCTAGGGCAGGAGCCCAGCAGACCCTCTGCTCTGAAATCTGGACTGAGTAATTCTAGCCATGTGGAGCTTCCCTCTGGGTCCATGGCAGGCAGGGCTGTGGCCACACCTGGTCCTGTGGAGCCCGTGCCCTCTGTAGGCCGGACTGTACGTGCCACCTGGGGAGGCTCAGATCCCTCCTCTTCTGGGTATTTGGCTTATAAATAGTTCTCTTCCCTGAGGGTACATTCAGAGAAGGGTGGGGAAAAGGCTGGGGCTGAAGTGTCCATGCTCCCGGCTCTCTGAGAGCAGTGATGTCACCTTCTAGGGGCTGCCAACGCCCACCCCCAGCCTCAGCACTGGGCAGGAGCCTGCTGGCTGCTCTGGGTGGACCGAGACCCGCCCTGCAGACTGGCTGCCCCATCGTGTGTGTGTGTATGTGTGTGCGAATGTGTGTGTGAGCACTCCCATGTCTGCCCACGCTCCATTGGGCCCGCCTTCCACACTCAGAGTTAAGATGTTGCCTCGTATTGTACATTTTCGGGAAAGCCTTGGGTGTAAATCAGTGTAAACTTGGAGGAGAGATTTTTCTATCATGTAGAGTAGGTATTTTTTATAGATTGAAGGTTGATCAATTTTTTAATACTTTCAAGAGAGAAACCTATCTGTGTACACATGAATATATATATGTATAATATATAAATACTGGAGCTCTGCTTTCTGCGCCCGGCCGGCGACGTGGCTTCTCATCTTGATCCTGCTGTCACTGAGCAGTGCTGTTGCTGAGTGGGTACGCTGGGACCATGCCCTGGCACTGACCTGCACCCTGGACATGACTCCCGGCAGCGCAGTGAGGCCTCGGTGCTGGGACAGGGCAGCTGTGACGATTAAAGCTGTTACTGCACACGTGAGGCGTCCTTCCTCTGCGGGGGCGGGTGGGTAGGGGCGCGGGGGTGGGGGTGCACGGGGGCGCAGGTGGCCGCCATGGGGGAGCACGACCACTTCCTGGGCAGGGTCTGGGTCTCAAGCCTGCAGGTTCGGGCACACCTAGGGGTGGCCAGGTGATGGGGCCTTGGCCATGGCTAGGTTTCCTCCAGGCCCCCTCAGTTGTCCCTGTTAGGATGTGGGGGACGGTCGGGGGTGGGGGCAGAGCATGGCATGTCTCAGAGGATTGCAGTCTCAGATACCGCTGCCCCTGCCCCCTGAACAGTGGGGTGCCAGCATGGAGGTGGTCAGAGAAGGCCTCGTCCAGGGCAGCCGCACCAGGCTCCCAAAGTGAGGGGACAGAGGGCAAAGGCCCCGGGCTGGCAGAGGTCACAAAGAGGGGCAGTTACAGTGGGACGCCAGGAGGAGGTTTCAGGGGCTGTGGACTGAGCTCTGACTCTCTGGGAGCTAGGTGATCAGCCATAGTCTGGAAGAGCCACCAGCTAGGCGGGTGCACTTTTCTCCAGAGTGGGAGGGGAGCCCACCCCCACTTAACTGCCTGCCAGCCAGACCTGAACTCACACAGACCGAGACAGACCCCTGGGGCAGAAAAGGGGGCTGAGCCACACAGGGCAGACCTCCTCTCCCCGCAGGACTGCAGTTGGCAGCTCTGGGCTGGAGGCCTCCAGGCTGACGCCCTGCAGGACTCAGGGTCACTTGGAGCATGCAGACTGTTGTCCTTCCTGAGGGGGACCCTTCAGGTTCAGGCCTCCAGTCCTCCCACTGACCTGTCCAGGGCTGCTGCCTTCCTGTGTCCTCACTATCCAGACCCTGCGGTGGGCCTCATGGGGTGTGCACAGAGGACCCTGCTGGACACTGGGGGGCGCCAGCCTGCTGCACCAAACCAGCTCTGCAGGGGGCTGAGGGGGCCGGAGGCCTAGGAGGAGGAAGCCACGCCCCCAAGGCCCTGTGGCCCAGCCCCCGTGTCTTCCTTGCTGGCCAAGAAGCTGCATGTCACCTGTTCTCCCACCTGTCCATCTACCTGTCCACCCATGAGCACCTGCAGGGGCCTCACTCCACCTTGGAGGAGAGGCTGGAAGTGGGGAGGGAGCACAGGGGTCTCGGGTAGGAACACACACACCTCCTCAGGCCTGAGTCTGGGACGACCACCCTGCCACTCCCTCATGGTATGGCGCTCTATTACTCCACATGGGAAGGGCAGCTGCGGCTTCCTAATGGATGCCCTCACCCCAGCCTTGCCGCGCCTAGGGGGTTATTCCCACTTTTTAAATGTAGGGCCTTCCCAGGTCTGGTGGGCCACATGGATTGAGGGTCCTGGCTCTACAGGGACCCCCAGCCCAAGGGGGCACAGTCCCTATTTGGGACTGACAAGGAGGGTGGAGAACGGATGATGAAGGGCTGTCTGACAGCTTCTGACCCAGGGGGCCAGAGCAGTTGAGAGGGTGTCCTGGAGGAGGCTTGGGGACAGGGGACAGTCAGGCAGGGCCTGTTGGGGTCTTTGTCACAGGCTCTTGGTGACCTGGCCTGTGGAAGAGTGGGCCAGGCTGTGCCTCCCCGGAGAAGCGCCCTGGGTCGTGGTGGCCTCTCTCCAGGTGGACCCCTCGTTTCCTTTGCCTTGGACAACTCCAGGCTCTCCCAGAAACGGTGCCAGTCGGCCACTGGGCCTCCCGAGGCTGCTCTCTCCCCCCAGGACTTGCCCTGCGCCTGCTGGAGGGACAGGGATTCCAGCAAAGAACCTCAGGGGTTGGCTTTTACCTGGTAGGCCCTGCGCTCCGGCCACAGGTGGCTCACAAAGCAGGTGGCTGATGGACCACTTGGTGTGACGCATACAGACCCATGATCAGATCGCTGCCTCCCTGCCACAAGGGCTCCCCACCCCCATGAATCCCAGAGCCTCGGCTCCACGAGGCAGGGGTTGTGTTTGGTTGCACTCCAAAGCTCAGTCACCCCGTCCACCCCTCTCCGGGGTTGGGAGTTTCCCTTCCTTCACCGCTCCACCTCCCCTGGTGTCTTTAGCACCAGGCAGCTGGTCTCTTGGTTGGCAATTTGTGTCTGGGGTGTTGTCCTTATATGGCACCCGGCACGGAGCAAGGCTTAGCCAGTGGTTTTGGACGATCCAGAATCACTTACCTTCTGCTGTATAGTTATTTTAAATTGACACTGTGTGCCTGATGTTTCAGCAACTCGGGATATTGAAAGGGACTACAGGTCTGAGTCCACAGACGCAGGAAGGACCTCCCACTCCCACTCCCCCTCCAGCTCCGACCTGTAAAACCAGTTGATCCTGTTGCGGGTCGACCTTGCATTCGAGTCCTCCCTCTGCCCGCGGCGCCGGCGCCCCGCTCTGCAGCCTTGCTGTGCCTCCCGCCGGATGACACACGGCAGAGCCTGGAGTGGATCCCCGCTCCAGCAGCCTGGTGGGAGTGACCTCGGGGTAGCCACAAAGGGCAACCGAGGGACAGGCTGCGCCGCAGAGGGTCCTTCGTGAAGGAGCAGTTGTATGCAGAGGCCCTGAGGGAAGGTGATGGGGAAGACAGGTTCCTGTTTTCAGGGGTCCCTTAGTGCCAGGAACGCTGTGGAGGTCCTCTCAGCCAACCCTCTTAACGCCCGGGTAGGCGGTCGTTTCCCTCACCGAGGAGGAAACCGTGGCTCAGGGAAGTAACATCCCTCGTCACACTGAGTGACAAGGCTGCGTCTCGGACACAGGTCGGTGCCACTAAAACTGGTGCTTTTGACCATTGAGCCCTTGAAGGGGAAACTGAGGAAGACGAGCCAGGGGGCACTGAGGGGGCCCTGCGAGGAGGTGGGGGCTCCGTGAGAAGGCTGAGGGGCTCATGGGAAGTCTGAGGGAGGTGAGGCCTTATGGACATGCAGGCGCCAAGGCTGAGCCGCGGACTCTCGGGCGGGCAGTCCCGCGGGGACGAGGACCCACAGCCCAGCCTGCAAGGTGCAGCGGAAGCCCCGCCTCTTTCTCCCTCGCAGGGCCTTCTGGGAGCTGTAGTCCCGTCCCATCCTCGGCCTTCTCACTTGCCGCCGCGCAGGCCCAGATGCGGCCGTCTCCAGCAGCACGGCCCCCGAGGACTACAACTCCCGGCGAACTGCCCGAAATGGGCCGACTTCCGCCGAGAGCCGCGCGTCCTTGTGGGAGCGGTAGTCCGGCGCGTCTTCTTGCGCCGCGTGCGCCCCGGGCGCGGAGCCGC